TTCCTTCTCTTCACTTTCACATGCTCTGGTTGGGCCAGTTTCCTTCTCTTCACTTTCACATGCTCTGGCTGGGGGCTGAGGAGATGCTTGGAATGTCTCTCCCCCTCCCTGTAACCTTGAAGCTCCCTTTCAGGATCCTCCTCGTTCATGTCTTCCATCACATTGGTTGTCTCATGCTTCATGGAAATCCCCTACCTGTGGCATCTTGTAGAGGGACAGGATGGTAGTCATGTGTAGACATACTTCAGAGGTAGGTCCTCCAATAACTGCTATGGGTTTGTTCTGCATATCACAGTTATAGTTAGGGATGAATTGGGCTTTTGCAGAGAAGAGTTCCAATGAAGCCCGATAGGTCCAAGTTGGATTGAAGTAGCTATTATAGATATGGAAGCCCAGAGTATGATCGGGTAAAATTTGAGGATTGCTGTTGATTTGGTTGATTGCAAATTCTAAGGCCAGGACATGCTGATATGTTGGAGTCATGACCCTAAAATGAGCATTACATATTTTATCACTATCCAGTCCAAACTGTGACAGATGGCATTTCAGCATAACATAAAGATTTATACAAGTGAACAAGCATATGATAAAATATTTTTACTATTTATTTCTATCATCAGTATGTCCCCAAATTCACTAGAACTCATAGATTTTGGAAAATATTGCTTAGGATCATGATTTTTGTTCCAACAGCAGGGTAACCTTTCCTTTCCTATTCTAGAATCTGAAGTTATTTACTGGTGGCAGTAAATTACTGGTGCAGCTGGCGATGTGAGAATAGCATTTATCTATTATATTTCAAAATAATTGCTTCTACAGACTAACATGCACGCACAAAACCCCAAGATTCCCCACTCTTTCTTTCCTTCTTCTATTCTGCTCTTCTCCATCATCATAGGACAAGCATGAAAACTGTTTCACTGGTAAAGGAACCCATCTCTCTCTCTCTCTGGTCAGAGAACAGAAGTACATCTTCCCCCATAGGAAATCTAGACAGACAGATTCAGAGACATTTCTGTGGTCTTTAAGTAAACCAGATATTAATCCTAGGCATCTAGCTATCTCTTTGAGATGAGGTTACTTACAAATACATTACTATTCTACTTAATGATTTTTTTTTCATTTTCCTGCATGTATAATTTGTACCTATACTAATCTTCATGAGAAACAGAAATAATTGGGTAATTTCTATTTCTTGGATACCACTTTGCAAAATCCAGTTCACTCTTGCATATACCTGAAAAATCATAACACGTCCATTTCCAGAGAAAGCTTTTTGATGCAAAACAAGAAAGTGAATTTCTACACTGAGCACAGGGTCAAAATCAATGATGAGAATTCAACCCAGCCCCTCCAACTCCAACACTGTATAAATACTCACAAATCTAGTATTCCTCAGATAGGATTTCCAGTTTAGGCTAAGAACA